TCTTCTCTCCTCTGCTCTTCTCTCCTCTGCTCTTCTCTCCTCTGCTCCTCTCTCCTCTGCTCCTCTCTCCTCTGCTCCTCTCCTCTCCTCTCCTCTCCTCTCCTCTTCTCTTCTGTTCTCTCCTTTCTCTCTCTCTCTCTCTCTCTCCATCCCTCCCTCCATCAGCCTGAGAATTGCTTCGAGGTATCGGAGGCATCCGAGAAAACCTCACGTTGCGAGAACTGCCGAGAAAAAACGGCCGCGCAAATCCACAAGCTTGAAGCAGCAGCAGCTGCACAAGCTGCGTCACACGCCTTTTTCTGTTCAATTGATCGACATTGCCCCCACGATTCGCAAGCGCCACTACTCCACTCTCGCATTGCAGCCGCAGAAGCAGCCAAGGCTGGACCACTCCTCGTGGGAGCTTCGTCATGGCAAATCACAAAAATACGTCGTTTGACTCCAGGCCCCTGGTCATTCCACTTGTTCATCGTCGTTGACATGAGCATCGCACAAATAACATTCACGACCTCACCGTCTTGATGGAATCATCATCATCACCACCATCATCATCATAGTTCTTAACTGCATCACCGTGAAAACCATCAGCACTACCACCACCGAATCATCACCACTATCATTGCCAGCCTCATCATCATCATCATCTTTCTTTCTTTCCATACGCTCATCGAGTGATGATGGCGTGGATCCTTTTGATCCGCCTGGTCCCCGTAGGGACAACCAGCTCCAGCTTTCAGCTGAAGGTCATGTCAAGCAAGCGAGCCAGATTTGATCTGGCTTGTGCTGGTTGACTCCTGCGTAGAGCTAGGTGCAAAATGCCAAATTGGCGAAGGCAGGGACACGGATGGTCCTCAGTCAGCTCAGTGGTGTAGTAGGGCTGGCAAGCGCACCACCGAGTAGGATGGGCTTTCGCGCTGAAGGCTGCTCCACACTTCTCTGCAATCGGTTGGGATGCTTCCCAAAGTTCTCGATGTGCCACTTCAAGGTGCGCATTCATGTCACGAGGCCGACTTTGGCAGATGATGCACTTCTTCACCAGCCGATGGCATAGCCCCGGGTGGGCCACCAGGATGTCAGCATCAAGCCTGTCTATAGCCTGGAGCCATTTGTGGTGCCAGTCATCATTGATGGAGGGGTCATGGATGATGTTTGCAAGCTTCTCCTCCTCAGAGAGAATTGGAGATTCCTCCGTCAGATTTGAGACTGGTTCTGCGCCCCCATGCGGCGTGCAGTTGAGCCATACAAAACAGCAGTTCTCCTGAATCACGGTTGGGATCCTGTCGAACTTCTCCGGCACGGAGCCGTCGTCGAAGACCCACCAGTATCCGCCGGCCAGGACCGCCGTGCAATAGTGTCCACAGGTGGGCTCCGATCCCAAATGATAGGATACTGCCGTGACCACAAATGGAATGTGGTCGATGCCAAGTTTGTTGTTGTAGAAGAAGGGCATCCACACCTTAGAGTCCCAGCTGAGTCTGGTTCGATTTTTCTTGCCCCTCGAGTCGAAGCGATCGATGTGAAGGCATGTGACGTCTGCAGGTTCTGTCAACCCATGGAGACCGAAAGATGCCAGGCTCCAGTTGGAGATCAAACCTTGCAAATCGGTGGGCAGCAATCCATTCTTTTGCTCACTGCAGATGTATAGATGCAAAGGGCACCCCAGGGCACTTTGATCCACCACTCGGATTTCCCCATCCTGTTCCAGCCGGGATTCCCAACAACAACTGAGAAAGTTGGGGTTCAGCTGTTGAAGAAGATGATGAGCGAAATCAATGACATCATGTTGTCTAAAAGGTTCCGGCCACGTGGAAAGTAAGGTGGTCCATTGCCCATCTGCCCACAGTAGAAGTGGTGCTCCCTCTGGTGACACATCTGCAATGGTCTCAAAGACCCTCGGAAAGTTGGACCAGTGGTCCTCACTCAAGCCCCCTGCCCATTGAGCACTCCACACCAATCCCGTGACCACCGAGTTCATGTAGCAAGCTGATGCCGGATTCGTCAGTGGCCTCAGTGGTGCCTGACCAGGTTGAATCAGAGGTCCCCAAGCATTTTGCCCAGATATTGAGCCAAAGGAGTCCTGTGCTGGGTCGCGGGTCTCATCCTCCCCAAGATCAGTTGCCAAAGTCCGGAGTGGCTGAGCTGGTGCCAAAGCCCCCTCATCTCTGTGGAGTGTGAGTTGGTCAAGGCCAAGGTGACCCGCCATGGAATCACTGCGGAGGGCTTGTCTGTGTCCGTGGTCATGACTTTCTGAATCTGTTGTGCCGGGCGCAGTGCCCCAAAGCGCTTGATCAGGTCCTCCTGTTGCAAGAGAGTGAGCATCCGTGCTAGGGTGTGCAGAGCCTGCTGGACTGTGAGAGGAGCATCCTCTTGGGCTTCCATCGCCTGCTTCTGATGATCCCACTTCATCCTTGGGAAGAAGTAGTTGTTTCCATTCTCCTGGTCGATCTTCAGGAATCCCAGGCGTTGCAATGTTTGGATCAAGGGATCGGAGGAGGCCGTGGATTGAAGTTTCTGAGCCCGCTTCACCAATTCTTCCATCATTGCCTTCAGGACCAGGATCCTCAAGGGGTGTGTCCTCTCGCTTTGAGGTGTCTGATGCCAAGTTGTGGTCTGAGTCATCATGCAAGGTAGGATGGACCCGGGGCCCGCGCTCAAAAAAACGAAGAAGTCCGTCTCCGTGGCCAGACACTGGAGGGTGTCTTCGTGCCTTAGCACTAGCCTGCTCAGGACCTGCAGCAGGTTGTTTGTGTTGGGTGTGGACTCTCCATTGGTGATCTGGTTCTTCACCTGGCCTTTTCTTCCTTTTCCTTTTCCCTGCCCCTTCCCTCCATTCGACGTGATGGATCGGGGCCTCTTGGCACTCTTCTCCTCGCCGACCTCCATCTTGACCCATTGGTTCAGTGCTCCCCACATCTCGGAGACTTCCCCCGTCTCCATGTCCATGATGAAGGATGGCTAGCAGTGAGGCCAATTGCAGGAGAATCGGGCACTGAGCTGCGGTGGGATGACCCTTGCAAATGGAGCAGGTTGATTGCTTCACTTGAAACATGGTGAGGTACTTGTAAAACAAACTGCCCCTGTTGGAGTGTTTGGCATGTTGATTCCACAAGTGTTGAAGCATGTCACGTGGATCAATCTGCCTCCCGCACAGACAACACCAGGTGCTAAGGGCTGTGCAAAGCGTGTCATCCTCAATGAGCTCTGCAAAGAGGCCGGTAGCAAGTTTGCTGTCCATGTCGGGGAAGGAGAGCGAGATGGTAGGGCTCAAAACTTGAAGATCAAGCCGAAGAGCATAGGACATGATCAAATCATCGCTGCCTCCATGAAGTCTGGTCAAGTCATGGTGGACAAAGAGGGCCAGCTGTGTGAAGACTGTGCAGACATGTGGTGTTGTAGGCGGCCGAAGGCAGGAGCAACCCAGGTTCCTCAAGGCGCTATCCGTTTGAAGCCACTCCGCATAGGTGGTGGCCTGTGGCCAGTGCTCATTGTGATGGTTCCCCAGGTGTTTCAGCAGGGAAACAGAGCTCCCAGACTGATGTCCACAAAGTCCGCAGATGTACCCAAGTCGCCGAATCAGGGATTTGTAAGCCATGAGATGGTCAAAGGTCCCGCCATGAAGTCCTGAGATGATCAGCGGATGATGCCACAGGAGAGGCGGGTCGTCGTCAGGTGGAGTGGAGCAGTGTCCTCCATCAATGTGGTGCCGTAGAGCAGCCAGACTCAGGAATTTGGAGTGACAATGTGCACATTGAGTCTGCCCAGGTACTTGATCTCGTCCAGCCACAAAGGTCCTAGTCGTCGTGGAGTGAGTATGATCCAAGACCTGATGCTGTTGAAGGCCTGCCGCGGTCACAAACTTCCGAGGACAGAGTCCACAGGAGAATTGGGCTTCCATCCTTTGAGGAGGTTGTGGAACAGGAGGAGGACTTGCCGGGAATTGCTCCCGGTGCTTCCGGTAGGCCAAGGCTAGGCCCAGCTGCTTCTTCACTGGACATGTGTGGGTCCTGCTCCGAAAAGCTTGTTCACAAAGTTCACATGGAGAGGAGGCACGAGCCCTCACCACATTGGGGAGAACGTCCCCCATAAGAGCATAGATGTCCCCATGATCTCTCCCCATGTGTGCAGACATTTGCTGAAGTCTCGAGGACCAAAATCCACAAAGTATGCACCGCTGGGAAAGAAAGTAGCAAAGCGGACGATCTCGAACCAGTGGTTCCAGGTCTCCTCCATCATAGTAGTCCAGCAGCCGAGTCCGGAAGGCATGAAGTTGTTCCGGAGGTGCCTTGGTTGGATCGAAGTTGGTACATGCAAACGAGGAGATGTGATGTCGGAAGTTCTGCCAGCTAATGAAATGTTCTCCACAATGTCTGCAGGTTGGTCTGCCATCAATCGAGTCTCTACCAATATCCAGTGGAGGACCGTTGGTGTGAAGAATCCCGTGCGAAAATGTTTCATGTCTTTTGAGCGTGTAGTAGTGACGAAACATAAGCCCACAGGTGTAACATTCCAGTCCTGCCTCTGCAAGGGGAAGAGAATTGCCCGGTTCTGATGTGCTGAGTTCCTGCAGCCATGTGTCAACAAGATTGATTGAGCATCGAAGGGAGTCCAAGTCCAAAGTGTGAAGAACGTCCAACTCATGCAGTTGAACAAGTCTTGCCTCGTGTCGGTGTAGTTGAGAGGCCATCCGCCCCCGCAGCACAGCAACCGGGTGTTGCAGGTGGTGCTCAAGAAAAAAGGCATGATGTGACTTGTGAGTCTGAAATGAGTGATCTCCATCGTGGTCATGGCCTTGGAGAAAATGGGAATACTGGTGCTGTCAGTACCTGTTGCATCAAGTCCATAGATCCCTATGGGAAGAATGCATGTTTGCCAAAGAGCCACCTTCTGCGCCGCGCGCATGGAGTTCTTGGAAAACCAACGATGCATTTGTTTGAATCGAAGTTTGCTTGCTTGAAGTCTGGCCTTCATCGTATCACGCTGAAAATTAAAATATCCCATCTGAATACCAAGATATTCGTGCTTCTCTTTGATTGGAATTTCATGAAAAGTGCCATCATCTTTTGGAATGCGGAGCGCTTGATGATCCAGCTTCCTTTTCACATACAGCTTCCGCGCGTGTTGGTGTTTTGTGCCACCCCAGCGAACAACAACTGCTGACTTGTGCATATTCACGGTCATGCCCAGCTGTTCCAGAATGGTGATCAGCTTCCCAAAACAAACCAACCCAAAGTGAAGTTCGTCAAAATCATGAAATATAAAGCAGGCATGCCCGTCATCGGCATAAAAGGTGCAGCATTCCCTCATCCAATTGGTAGAGGTCGCCGCCGCCACACGTTCAAGTGCCAGTGCTATGAAGCATGCCCAAAAGTAGGGAGCACCTCTGCAGCCTTGTC